GGGGGGCGTACCAGGAGTATAGGATTTCGGAATCATCCCCTCGTCTTGAGACGGCGTCCAGAAGACATTCTCCTGAGAAGAGATCGGTCTCTGATCAACTGAGCGCGCAAGAGCGTCGCTGGGCCCATAATCCAAGTCTACAGACTCGTTGAGAGGGAATCCCACGTAGAAAACAAATCTAGCCTGGTGAATCGGAGAAATGTTCATCATAGTGTTTCTGGGGTTCATTCAGATCCAACAATGCCAGTTCTTCGCGACATATTTGGCAAGGAACACTCTGCCTGGGATTCTCAGGTTCGTCTTCGTTAGGCGTGTCCTCGGCATTCACGCCATCGTCAAGAATGTTAGCGGCGCCCAAATGGGCAATGCCCAAGAAGCGTCTCTCCTCAGTAAGATCGAGGTTATCCAGGCTCATGGTCCAGAGAGAATCGAATGTGTGAGGTCATGTGGACGGATGCAATGATTAATATGGGGAGTTGGTCGGAAGCAAACGCCCTTCTCCCTGACCATGCGTGGGAGGGCAGGCGAGTTGGTGGTCGGTGAACGCTGTTCCGCCCTTCACGTTGTTCCTTTCATCTTGCAACACACAGGTCAGCCTACCTATTGAATTCAGCCTGAATTATAGTTCTGATCAAAACTTAGTAGGGAATATGTCTAGGGAGATCGTCAACATTCAGGTAATGCTGCAGGCATGTCCGACCCCAACGGTCCTTGTTGACTCATTCCTGTAGGTCGGGCAGGCGGGAAACCAGGTCGCCTATGCCTTTTGGCAAATGATCCTCGCCGAGCATGGCCTGGATGCTAACGGAGTGAGCATGTCTCTCTTTGTACCTCGAGTAATGGCTAACAGGTGTGCTCTAGATGTACCGTGGGGATGACGACCAGAAAATTGCCAGGGTGAGCTGCACCAGACGTTGAAGTGCTCGACTTCATCATTGATAGATCTATATCATAGGTTGGCGTTTACTTTTCAGAGGGCTCTGATGGCAAGTATGTACCTCGGTCCCTGCAGATTGATCTGGAGCCTGCCGTTACGGATAATATCCGATCCGGTCCTCTTGGTCAGCTCTTCAGGCCCGATACCTTCGTGACCGGCGATAGTGGCGCTGGCAATAACTGGGCGAAAGGACGTAAGCCATTTTGTATGTGTTACCTCATTGAATGATTGTCTGAGCACTTCACAGACTACACCGACGGTGCTGAGCTCATTGATCAGATTCTCGATCAAGTGCGGAACCAGTCGGAGAAATGCGATGCTCTGCAGGGATTCCAAGTCATCCATTCTCTCGGTGGAGGCACTGGTGCAGGGCTCGGGAGCTTGCTTCTATCGAAGCTACGAGAGGAAGCACCCGATCGAATGCTTGCTACGTTCTCCATTCTACCGAGTCCCAAAGTCTCCGACACGGTGGTCGAGCCATACAACGCCATGCTGTCCATCCATCAGATTATCGAGAACAGCGATCTCACGTTTTGCCTGGACAACGAGGCATTGTATGATGCCGCTGTCAGGCTGAAGAACCCAAACCCCAATTTCGGACATCTGAATGATGTGAGTTGTTCATGTAACCTTCATGAAAGAACGTATGACTTATTCGCCGCAGCTCATCGCTCAAGTAATGTCCGGCGTCAGCACCAGCTTGCGTTTCCCTGGTCAGCTGAACGGCGACCTACGCAAACTGGCCCTTAATCTGATTCCATTCCCTCGTCTTCACTTTCTTGCTCCCGCTTACGCCCCTCTCGTGCCGCCGGGCTCGCAGTCCTTCCAGTCATTGTCAATTCCTGAGCTCACAGCATCCTTGTTTGACCGCCGCAATCTGCTTGTAGCATGTGATCCTAGGCTCGGAAGGTACTTGACTGCCGCCACGATCTACCGCGGCAAACTGTCGTCACGTGAGGTGGAGGCGTCCGTTCAGCAATTGCAGGCAAAGAATTCCAGCTCCTTCGTGGAGTGGATCCCGGACAACGTGTCCGTTACTCTTTGCTCTGTTCCTCCTATTGGCAAGAAACAAGCTGGCGTGTGCCTGGCTAATACTGTTAGTTTCTCGTGCGCACCAGCAAACAGATCTGAAGCTAATAATAATTCGTAGACGGCGATCCAGGAGGTTTTTAAGCGCACACAGGAGCAGTTCGCTGCCATGTTCAAACGCAAGGCGTTCTTGCACTGGTACACGGGCGAGGGTATGGATGCTATGGAGTTCATGGAGGCCGAGTCTAACGTGGTCGACCTGATCAATGAGTATCAGCAGTACCAGGAAGCATCTGCTGAGGAAGAAGAATACGAAGACGAGGTTGCGGACGAATAACAATGATGGACGATCTGGCCTGGATGAATCATGACTTATCTTGTGATGACGGATGTACAGATACCCATTGTTACTTATTGTCTTGACTCTCTTCTTGCTGGCCGAGTTGTTAGATAATTGTGAAGGAAATACCATGATCGGAAATGTAATCCCACTAAAATAGAAGTGTTCCAATGGACTAGAACGTGTTGATATCAATTATAGGTGCATATTGCGTGGGCACGGGTTCGTTCGCGTCTGTTCGCGACCCTCTCAGATTAAGATTCTCTTGATACCCGACTCGCTCATCTGAGAGCTCTTCTGCTCCAGCTTACCTTCGCTTTCATCTGCTTCTCCCCGCACTCGTGTTCTCCTGCTACCTGTGTCCCTGTTGCGTGCGCATGCTTGTTGCCCGCTCTCCATGGGATTTTTCTCCTCCCGACGCGCCGACGCCGCCCCACTGCCCAAAAGCCACGACTCGAAGCCTATTACTTCCAAATGGTATGGAAAGCTGAGAAAGAAGGACTCCCCAAGTACATCACCGCAGCCAAATGCCGATGGTTGGATCGAGGTGCCATCTTCTACCCTCGCGTCAGCTGTGGCTCCTGCACCGGTAGCAGACCCCGTAACGTGGGTGCTTTCACTAGCTTCGCGCTTCCTTCAAACCCACTGAACCTATATGACAGGCGCACCCTTGCCTCGAGGCTAAATGAGCTGGCAACATCACACGCAGATGGCCTCATAAGGCACGTTACATGCTTCCCAACCAGATACCTGAACTGACTCGGACTGCAGTGACAATGAATACCGTATCTTGCGCCAAGATATCTTTGAACGCTACGGATCTAATAGTCAAGCAGGCCCATCACGTCTGTCTGGGTCACAGAGAACCGCACAAGCGTTCACACGGCCCCCATTACCCTCTTTTACGCCTGACATCCCTATCACTATTGCACCTGATGCCTACCCACCACCGCCGTCCTCGCCTCTCATTGCTCTAAAGAACAGTCTGCGTCGGAAAGGCTCCCGCTCCTCCAACATGTCTGGTTCGATCCTTCCAACTGCGGATTCCTCTGCGTCCATCTTTTCCTTTCGTTCCAACTCGACGGCGGCAGCGGCCAATTCTGGACGAAACATATCTTCCAATACTCTCTACACCCACAACGTACCCCTATCACCCACCAGTAACAAATCTGTAGATCTCCTCTCCATTTCGTCATTGCGGTCACGAGCACCCTCCGTAGCACCCTCTGGCCGATCAGGCGTACCACCATCTGCATATCATTTGCCTATGCCACCATCGCATCCAAGCACAGCTACGTTGCGACAGACATTACCTGACAATGATGAAGACAAATCGGCCACTCAGTTACGACGAGAGCTGGCAGAGGTGGAGTTGGAAGGCTTGCGCGTGCTGGAAGGATTCGATGCTAGGGAGGCCATACTGCTGGATCAGCTGGAGGGCATGAATATGCCAGTGGGCCTAGGAATCAACCTATCTGGACCAAACGGCACGATGACTTCGCTGCCCGCGGCTGATTCGAACGCTACGATCAGACCACGAAAACGAAATTCATTGATCGATGTCCTGCCTCGACGGTCGGCGACGAAATCATCTTCGAGCCGTTCAAATGGGTCAAACCCACCGACCCCTTCAGTTGCTGTTCGCAACAGTCCGGCTCAGGCGCAAGCGGTGTTGTCGACTATGGATCCGGACCCCAAAATGACTGCAGCATTGACAGAAATACGAAAGGGCAGGGCGGACGTGAAGCAACGGTATGAGACGCGGATGGCATTCCTACGAGCAAAGCTGAAGGGCGCCGAGTTACACGAAAAGCTGATCAAGTGAGTGGGTGGAGCGTGCTGAGTGTATGCTGTAGTATGTTGCGTATATCCTTGTAATTTCTAATGGTCGTGCGGGCTGCACCTTTGACCCCGTGTTGCATTCTGTATTCTAGAACACGGCAGGTATTTATGTTGGTTTGTTCACAAAATAGGATTGTCGTACTCTTCGGACTAGTTTCAAAAAAGGCTCTACTATTCCGTATTCTACAATGGATACATCACACTCTGCAATTCTCCAACGAGATAATTAAGATGTCGCTGGCACCAATCGCCTCTAGCCGATCCATGATCTCCGCCATTGCCTTCTTTTCGACCATAGAGCTCACGGCAACCCAGCCCTCGTCTTCTAGGGGGCTGACCGTGGCTGCTCTCCGACCCGGGGTGATGTTGGTCGCCTCTTTGAGCCGTGTTCGCTCGATATTGTAGTTGCAAAGTACGTATTTCCCAGCAGCGATCACACCTGCTATTCGGCTGGTCAGGCGCTCAATCAATGGGATGTGTTCCGTCTTCTTCGTCTTTGTACTTCGAATAAGCACGGCCTCAGACAGAAGCAGAGTTGATATGGCATGAAGTCCGGCGGCACGCATCGTCTCTCCAGACTCTAAGTCAGGGTCAGCATATCTGTCACAACCTAATCAAAAAAGACACTCTGCTCACCCACTAAGTCCACAATACCGTCGGCAAGCCCCAAAGCGCAAGCCGCCTCTACACTTCCGCCCACATACTCAATCTTCGTATTCGTTCCCAGCTTGTCATCTAGATCCTTGAAATACTTCCCTGCCAGTACCTCGAAGCTCGTGACAACCCTCTTTCCCGCAAGGTGCTCGACGGCCTGAAGTTGGCCCTTCTCCGGGACCTGCACTTGAAGCGAGCACTTGCCAAATCCAAGTTGGAGGACCTCAGTAACCAGGTCGCTCATTTCAGACTCGGCGACCATGTCCTGGCCAGTGATGCCGACGTCGACATTACCCTCACCCACAAAGCGAGGGATGTCGGCGGCAGGAAGAAACACTCTGTGACACGAGTCAGGTGCGAGACTGGGAATAGGAATGCTAGGAAACTGACAGGGCAATGGGGAAGTTGCGGACAAGGCAAACGTCTAACCGCTGGGACCGAGTGAATTGGATGTCGGCACCTATGCACAAAAATAAATGCCCCCTGTTCGGTAGAACAGTGGGCCGGCATACCATGAAGCAGCTCAAGACACTTCTCGTACAATCTACCTAAAACAAAAACTCAGCAGAGAGCCTGTGTAGGTGGGATATCATCTACCTTTCTTGGGAATGGCAAACAACAGACGGTCCTTTATCGATTCGAAGTACTCCATAGTATGTTACAATGTATATTGAATAAGCGTAAGATTGAGGATGACAACCAAGTCACTGAAATCCTGAAGACTGGGGGGGGGGGTGACTCCGTGAGGTAAGTTTCACGAGTCAGGGTCTAGTTAGAGGGTTCTCCCAGTGATTGGCCAAAATCGAAACACACTGTTCACACGTGCGCCTCCCTTCAACAAGAACGGGGCAAATAGAATATATTTCTGTCGAAGAAAAACTATGGCACGCATTTAGTAGGCTGTCGTAAGGAAGGAAACGGGGATGGAATGGTTGAATAATTGTACACAGAATCCGGTTTCATTGGTGCTAACCGATACAGGAGTGCTTTGAAGTGAAAAAGAAAAAGAATGCTTGGCCATAGTCCGTAACCTTGCATTGATCATAAGAGGATTTTTGAGCCTACTTGCTGCCAGAGGGTACGGCAACGGGATGCTGATATATACGAAGCCTGGTAAGAGACGAACGTTGCTGGAACAATGGAAAACAATAGACAAGTCGTGTTCACCTGCTCCAGAGGGCCAGGAAGATTGCCCAACCCTGTTGCAACCACGATGGCTGAATTGACGTTGATGACAGAGCGCCATCCATCCTTATGAGCGGAAACTTGATCGTATGCCCCGTCTCTATACCTACGGGGCGAGACGGTGCAAAGTAGAAACCAGCCATGAGGACAAGGTAACTTGACAGCAATATCAGTCTTGGGTTTCCAAGAGTCAGATATGAAGACCGACCTCAATATCAAGGTGCTGCCACGGTGGTAGTTGCTCTTGGCCTCGATGTACACGTAGGTGAGTAAGAAAATAGACAGGATAATCGCAATGACATCCCAGCGTGGGAAGATCAGGGTGAAAGTATCGGCAATATCACCAATCTTGCGGGGGTTGTACCATGCTGAAAATGCAACCATGGCAGGAATCTGCAGAAGACAGACCTGCAAAGCATACGCTGAACCGATTTCCATGCTATAGAAAATTCTCAGTTGTTTTCAGAAGGGCAAGAATGAAAACATACCTGAGCGCAATGTTTCCGTTCATTGCGAACGACATTGCGTTCATGAACTCGGTCGTGTTGGGTACCAACGCAAACAAAGTGAGGCCCAAGAATTTTTCATCTACGCCAGATCCTTCCAAAATAACGTCCACGACATCCACTAGTACTTCCGCAATGGCTGCATAGAGAGCAGTGCAAGCAAGAAGAACGGCTGCGCTAACAGTGCGACTCCATGATGGGGCATCGTGCCCGCCTTCAACCGCGTCATGATGGCCCATGGCAGTTCTCGGATGTGCGGGAGAAGCTTGTTGGTGGCGCAAGGCCGACACAGTCGCAACTGCTACGGCACGAGTGAAATCGTCGGTGGTAAGGTTTGGCGGGAGCGGGAGCGGCTGATGGTTTTGATAATTCGTGGTCGACTTGACAGCTTGGTTGACGGTTTCGATGAGTGGACCATATCCCGCGCCAGGTATACCGTTGTAAGTCGAGAACACGCGTCGCGTCGCGACTGGTGAGATGTTGACCGGTCCAGCTCGAGGCGTACTCACGAGACTCGGAGGTTGTTGCGTAGTTGGCCTCTCCTGCTGTCCACCGTAGGTACTATCAATGGTGGTAGCGACGCTCGCTCTGCGAGAGACCGGTCTATGCGTTGGAAGAGGGGACTTTGCGAGCTGTTGATTGACTAGCTTGTTGTACATCGCAAGCACACGACCTGTGTTGGGCTGCCCGGGCTGCCCCCCGACCTCGAGAGGATGCATGAGCTGCTGCGGATTCTGCCAGATCTGCGTGGCGTGCGTTCGAAGTGAGAACCAAAGGCCAATGAGGTATGATAATAGGAGAACCGTTGCGCAGAAATACATGAGGTTCTTGACAGTCTCTTGGTAGAAGGGATCTGTTGTCGGGTCTGGGTGTTCGTAGAAACATTGCTTGCACATCCATGGCTGATCAGGGTCTTTGCCGGGCAGTTCAGCAGGGCAGCCAACACAAGAGAGGCGGAACTGAAGACAATTAATGATAACATCAGTAATGACGCGAAAGACTCACATTTCCATACGTTTGGTAGAACATGGTGGGAGTGAGGGTGCCAATGATAGCCATGATCAACATTGTACTCGTCACCCCTGCGCTCTTGGCATTGAACTTCTGTTCTTTCCGTCTGAATGCACCAGAGCACATACTGACGCCAGGCATGAGAAGAACACCAGCGAGCAAGCTGCCGACGATGGAGCCTTCAACCAGCAGACCCTTGCCCTGGTTCAGCGCCATGCCGTACAGGATGATCTCGATGATGGAACCGAACGTCGCGTTGATGACGGCACCCATACCAATACTTGACTGAGCCGAGATACTAGCCACTGCCATACCGATGAAGTACGACAAAGGAATGACGCTGAGCAGAGAGAGAATGAAGATCAAGGGGCGAGAGGCAATGATGTTGAGGAAACGCGTAGGTTGATGTTCTTTCATGGGCAGAAGTACGAATGCATCGAAAAGCACAAAGAAGACAAGGGGAAGCAAATTGACGAAAATGATGTTGACTCCACCGATGGTGTACTTGTAGTATTGGAAGCCAGCTGCACGGTATGTGCAGAGCAGGACAGTCGAACGCGGCGCCCCAGAAGGTGCGGCTTGACCGGCACGCAGCCTCGTACGCTTGACGGCCGTATGAATGTCGTTTTCACCATTCTCCGTAGTGACAATCACCGCGGGGGGGGAGCAGAAGCGAATCGAGAGGGGCCGTGTCATGAGCAACTTGACAAGCGCCCAGTTCAGCTTGGCCATTGGAATTGGGAGAACCATTCCGAAACAAAGAAGGCAGATGAAGAGTTGGATAGGGGCGATGAGGACGGGATAAAGAATCCAGTACACGAGTCGGCCAAGGAAATCGCCCTTTTGAGCAGCTGGGAGATATTCGGCGGGCGGCGCACGCTCGGGGATGGTGTCGTAGGCTTTCTGTCCTCCTGGCCTACTGGAACTCAGCATGACAGTTGCTTCGGAATCTTGCGTTTCCGTATGTGGGATGGCCAAGAGTGGGGAGCGTTCGGTCGGTGGTGGGATCCAACTGGAAGTGGAAGCAGAGGGCACCATTGGGTGGTTGGAATCAATAAAAGGATCTTGCTGAGCATCAGGGGACGGCTCAGGCTCAGGTGTGGACTCGCTCTCGGCAGCGTCTTCTTCGCTTTCGTCCAATACAGGAGTCTGCGCCGACGGTCTGATCGTCCCAGCCGACTCTGACCCACTCCTTTGCCTCGCCTCCTGTATAGCGGCCTCTTCGTCCCTAACTCGACTCCATTCACGTTCCGTCTCGACGTCCTCTGGGAGATCTCCTTCAACATATTTTCCGAATGGCCAGAAAATGTACCACCCCAACCCCCAAACGATCCACGCATATCGTCGACCACCAAAGGGCACGATTGCTATCACAGCCGCAACACCTGCACATACAAGCGCAAGCCACCAACCAAAGACAACAGCCCAGAAAATGTTCCCCGGAGTGATGTGCCGTTCATGACTCGGAACGTTGTGAATCGCAGTCTCTGCATTGCGCGTGACCGTACGGCTTTTCTTGTACAGGGCGGGCTTCCAGATCGGCAAACCAAAGGGATGCTCAACATTCATGAGGCTTTGTCGTTCCTTCACCGTGATAGGTTCGTCTTCCGCATGACTCGCAAGGTGTTCTTCCAACTGCTCTGCTTCGTCAGGGGAATTGTCTTCACCTGCGCCATTGCCTGCCTCCAGATCTCGGTCGTTTTCACCGTCTTCGTCCAGGTCATCCTCATCAATAATATCCCTTTCGTCTCTGCTAATCCTCGATCCAGTCGTAGCGACGCTTGCACTCCTGTTCATTCTACGGTGCCTCGGATTAGGGGCCGAAGAGGACAAGCTGCGGGCCCCACGACCCGCGCCACTTGCACTTCGTCCAGTCGGCCTAGAAGGAGACGACGGGCGCGCTGGATGCGAGTGCCTGGGCGAGTAGGGTGGGAAGTAGGAGGTAGTCGCAGACTGTGGTGCGTCTGACCAGCTCTGTCCGCCACCCCATGCCTGTTGCCCTTGTGTGAGCAGTTGAGGATGCCTGAATCCACTCTGTGTCGGTGTCTCTCCGGGAGGGATGAGGATTGGAGCCGGAAGGCGAGGTTCAGGCGTCGTCGGCGTCTCGCTGCCATTGTCCGCCATCGTACTGGTTATTGAGATGGTCGACGAAAATGAGGGGACTGTCGAGGGGGTATAGGAGGTATATATATGCTTGCGTGTTCTTGTAAGGGTAGTAGCCCCGGGTGCAATAATATTTGGGTGTGTGCCGTCATTCGTGCCGAACAACCCGTGTTGATCACTCGCAGAGGGCACGTTTCAATTCCATCTTTCATCACAAAACACGTTATTCGAAATCTGCATCAATTCCGTTTCATCACATTCCCGACTCTGTAGATATTATAGTTTACATGGCTTTAGCCAAATATTCTTCTCTTGCCTTGGCCACGCGCTCAGCAGCCACATCGCCCTCTGGAAGCTCTGGCAAATGATACCCATGCTCTTTGATATCTTTCGCGGTGTCGGGATACGCCTCCCATGCATGCTTCTCCGCATCATGGCCCAATAACCATTCCTCGCGGTTGAGCGCGACACTTTTGGGATCCTCGACCGCCTTCTTATCGTCTGCCTGGTGCCACTTGTCGCGATTCGTCTCTCCCGTGCGCTGTGCCCGACGCACGCGCTGATACCGGATCTTCTCAAAAGCTTGGATGGAAAGAGGTGCTTCTTCGGGTCCGGAGAGCTTCAGATTCACCGCGATCGTTACACCGTCTTCAAGCGCCTGGCTGGCACCTTGGATACTGGTAGGCAGGAACGGGTGAGCAGCATCTCCGATGACCGCAATGCGCGCCTTCTTACTGATCCAGGTAGGCAGTGGATCGCGGTAGACGAGTTTCCAATCAACGCAGCTGGGCGCTTTAGACAGAATTGCAGCGCAGCGCGGGTCCCAATCTTCGACAATCTTGAGTACGTCCTCCATCTTGCCGGGGAAAGACCAAGACTCTTCGATATCCGCCGTATCCTTGTGCGTTATTACCCAGCTGACATCTTTCCCACCCTTGGAAGAAGAGGAGAGCATGTGTACGTCCTTACCGATCCAGCCGTAGAACGCGTCCCCATCCTTGACTAGGTAATCAGACAAGGGGTCCTCATCGATTCCGCTGCCCTTGGCGGTGAACCACGCGCGGTAAATGGCGTACCCAGACGGTTCAGGCTGATCAAAATAGCCCTAATAACACTGTCAGATACTGAGGCCCAATTGCTGGATCTAACAACGCACTAAGACCATCGCCCTAGCCTTTGAGCGCACCCCATCCGCTCCGACAACCACATCTGCACTCAGCCTTTCTCCATTGCTAACAACGCCCGCAGCATGGTCATCCTCCCAGTACTCGGTAACATTCGCTGAAAGTCGCAGGTCGACGCCAAGCTAGCACAGCTCAGTCGCGTCTTGGAACCGTGCTGTAGGGAACTCACCTCGACAGCATGATCGAACAGAATCTGGTGCAGCTCCCCCCGATGTCCATTATAGCTATAGCTCCCAAATTCCTTCTCATTCAGCGGCTGCGCAGTGATAAGGTCGCCCTTCCACGTATTCAGGTGGAACGTCTTCAAATGCGTGCAGAGCGGCCACATCTTGTCGTGCAGGCCCCAGCGCTCGAAGATGCGTCCAGCATTAGGTCCAAAGGAGATGATGTCTCCCAGGACCTTCAGCTTGGGGAACTTGTCTAAGAGGATAACATCGTGACCCTAAGAGTAGTGATGGGCAATCGTAAGCCCGACGTCTTGTTTCGCACACACCTTCAATCGCGATTCGATGGCACAGGATAAGCCAGCAAAGCCAGCACCAACGATGATGATCTTGACCGGCCTCTCACTGTTCGACTTGCTGTCGCTCGCGCCGTTTGGAGACATAGTAAATTTCGATGTTGACCAGGTGCGGAATACGGGTCGAAGAACTGAATGCCTTTTCGCTGATGCAAAGGAGCCATATACCCCACATGCCTGGAGGCCGGAAGAGAATAGCCTGATCAATCACGCCTTGGCTGACCTTCGGCTGAGATTAATCAGCGGAGAAATGGAGGAGATATTCCGTTGCTGTATGCCGTGTATATGCCGACAGTGTGCGTCTATTTCGGTTTACATTGTTCAATGCACGTGAGGACGCGGGGCTCCGGCCGGAATAACAATAAGCCTCCTTCAGCGTCCGTGCGCTAGGGTTCATGGTCCGTGCGCCACTGCTCAGGGTATATAGCCTTGATGTCGCGCATCCCTTTATCTGCATCTCTTGTGCTCGGGCACGAGCTGTCGACAGTGAGGTCTTTACCGAGTCACAGCCAATTGCTAGTTGCAAACTAAGCATCCGAACGCGTCGATGAGTCTATGACTCTTCGCAATTTTTGGCAAAACCTAACCAATAAACATGTTATTTTAATATGATGATATTACATGATACATGCATGCACATTGCCTCGCTGTGAAACATGGACCTGGCAAGGTCATCCATCTGGTTCAAATGAACACTTTCCTTTCCTCCTTAATGTCGTCCCAATTGTTATTGAGAGGTCATGATATCACATTACGATCTAGGTGGTGATTCCAGTAACCCAAGAAAGGGCCTATGGGAAAGAGAGGAAAGGTCGCGATAACAACGCAAATGCAATGATATGGGGGAGGGGTACCACATTGTTCATACAACACAACACCCTGCAACGCAACTCATCACAATCTATATGCTCACCTAACTCCAGACATCGAGCAAGAGCCTTGAACGCTCCTTGAGCAGCTTGAGCTCTGCCGCACCCTCGACCTCGGCTGTTCCTCCCTTGCCCACTCCCAGCATCTGCATCAGCTGATCCTCAACATCATGCGCCATGCTCTTTGCATCACCGCAGATGTAAATGTACGCCTTCTGCTCAAGGATAGCCTTGGTCAGGGGTCCGCGCTGTTGCCAGATCAGGTCTTGTACATAGACCTTGCTGCCATCTGGTTTCCGCGGCGTCTCGCGTGAGAAGGCCGTGTGTATGATGAGCTTGCCGTTGAGCTGATCGGCGTAGTATGGCCACTCTTCAGCGTACAGGAAGTCCTGGGTCGACGATCGGCAACCGTAGAACAGCCAGATGTTGCCCCAGTCTTTCAGTGCGTCAGGTCCGTTCTTATCGATCGCGCGCTTGGCAAGGGCGACACGCTCTTGCACAAAGCCGCGGAATGGTGCGACACCCTGTGAATCATTAAGTAAATTGCTGATAGAAATGCATATAGTCTCACAGTTCCAGGGCCGATCATGATAACTGGCGTCTTGGGGTTGGTAGGCAGCCTGAAGGTGCTCCTGCGCACATGGATCGGAACCTTGTATACCTTTTCGTGGTAGTACGCGCTCCTTGGTCCTTCGATCGCATAGCGCGGCGGGACGGAAAGATCTACGTCTTCAATGCCTTCTTCTGACATGAGAACGGAGGTCTCGCCGTGATGCGCCATCTTAAGATTAAGAATGTAGTTTGTGCCTACACCAAAGACCCACTTAGGATCCTTCTCCGGGTGATGCGACTTCTCCGCCTGATACTTGAGCACGACCACGGTGATGTGGATCGAACCTGGGTGAAGCTTGGGCGAAGAGGATATGGAGTAGTAGCGCGGCTGGAGACGCGGAATCAGCGATACGATCAGGTCGAACGGAATTTTCCAGGGAGTGATGGTCTCAGGGGTAGGTTTTACGTGGAAGTCTGGAACTTTTGCCGATGAAACAAGCTGGAGAACTTCGCCGAGCTTGAGCGAGCCGTCCGCAATCACAGAGGCGTACAGAGCTTTATCGGTGGCAAGCTGCGTGAGGCGCTCCGCAGCCTCGGGCGTGGGTGCGTGCTTGGCGAGCGCGGACAGGGCCTGACGACCGGCCGTAGCGGAGATATCGATGTAGTGCCTGAAAATGGTCTCGTACGTCGTCGGAATAGGGAAGGGCACCTTGGCTAGGGTGGGATCCAGAGACTCAATGTTGATGACAGCCGTGCGGCGCTCGGGTGCACCCAGACCGAGGACACAGAGCAGGCGGTCGACTTCGATGTCAGGGTTAGTAGGCCAAACACCACAGTGGTCGCCGTGCTGGTAGGTGAGACCGGAGCCCTCGATATCAAACTCGACGTGAATGCAGTTCCTATCACCGCCGGTAGCGAAGAGTTCGCGGGCTTCCTTGATCGGCGCCGGGTAGGGATTCTTCGCATCGTGGATGCCTTTGGTGCGGGTAAGCGCACGAGCGGAGAGTTCGCCAAGGTAGATCTTCTCTGTAGGGAATTCTTTCTCGAGTTCGGTGACGACAAAGTCTGCGGTATCGGATCCCGCGCCCTCCTCGACGTTCATCACGCTGGCAAACTCCTCCCACATGCCATCCTTCCACTCGAGATAGTCCTCCTCCATGCTCTTATCGTCATCTCCCTCACCGCGCTTGCCGATGCGAGTAGCACCCATCTTTTCGAGCGAGGCATCCACTCGGCGTGCGATGAGATTGTAGTGCTCGTATGTGCGGTTCCCAAGACCGAAGACGACGTAACGGAGGTTCGGGAGCTTGTGCTCTCCACCGGAGAACTCGAAGCTCTCGTCCTCGAGATTCTCCATGAGCGTCACAGCGTTGTCGGTCGGCTCACCCTCTCCGTACGTTGCCATGACAAAGAAGGCGACACAGTCCTCGGGAATCTTATCCAGGTTCTCGAAGTCGTACTCTTCCGGGTCGCAGACAAGGGACGAGAGACCGAAGCGTGACTTGGCCTCCTTGGCAAGACGGATCGCATATTCCTCTGCAGTACCTGTCTGCGAGCCGTAAAAGATCACAATACGCTTTTTCTATTCAGACGACTAGGGATCAGCGCTGGTTCCGCAGGTGTTACAGACACCTACGGTATCTAGCATCTTGGCAATGAAATCTCTCGGGTTTGCTCCTCCGGTTGCCCCCTTAGCACCCCCATTTGGACTCTTTCCATTGGGTATAGGCTTGCTTGACGATGAGCTCTTGAGGAATGGTAACTGGTCCCGGAGGAACCAGATGGCGGCAATGGCAAGGCCAAGAGTGACAAGAACGAGATCGGATGTTGAGAGAGATGCCATCGTGGCTGAAGACGGCTCTACGTTAGGAGATGCCAGCACAAAGAGGTGTCAAGTCTAGAGGAGAATGAAAAGAAAAAGTATTAATGAGATGTGGTCGACGATGTGGAAGACGAGATGGGGAGAGAAAAAGCGGGCGCCTTGAGATGATGGTACGAGACGTGTCACTGGGGTCTCTTACCGCCGGCAGCAAAAGTGAATTGCACTCACCTACAAGATATTGACAAAGAGAATAGCGATGATGTGAGCGTCTTCGTGTCAGTTGAGAGAGAAGAAGAAGGAAAGAGATAGAGATAGAGAGGAGAAGTAAAATGTTTGATAATTGCCCACAAGGTGGGAAAGAGAGAAGCGCTCTCAGGGGAAGGGGCGATGGTGCCGATCCCCCGTTGTTCCTTTACGGCGAAAATCGGTTAAGGCACACGGCGGGTACCGTTCCCCTTTCGCAAAATTATTCTGCCCCACGTGTGCACTTGGTCCTCCTTAGCTTCATCTCTCCTTTCTCAATGCCCAGTACACCCTTTGTTGGTCATTCATTTCTATAGTACTCAAACCCTCACTCATATTTCCCCTAGGTCATGCAATAATCCTAACTTTTATCCTGCGGCGGAGAGGCGGCGGAAGCCAAGAACCACAACTCATCCGCCCCAACCGGTCCTGCGTAAGCCGGCAGTCGGCCCGCTTAGCTAACCAGCGCTCCTCCGCGCCCCACCAGCCAGCGCGGTATCCGCCATGCGTTGGTCTTCTTCAACATTGTCTTTCCTTCCCTTATATCCCGTCGGACTTGAAGCGCTCTTATGGTCTGCGCTGACTGCTAACTGACAATGCGGACAATCACCATTGGCTACTGCAGACTCATAACTGCTGCTTGACATGCCAACTCTCTGGTTAATCGGAGTCGCCTCAATGAGCATCACCGGCAATTTCAAGCCTCATGCACTCTGTTCCGTTTGGTCACAGGCCCATTTATATCTGTCAACATCATTTCCTTCTGTTCTTCTGCGCTGCCTTTCAAGTCTAGCCGAAACTCATCGGAGTCCTCGGACTCAATGAAACTGCCATGAAAGGATCAGTCACCCTCCTCATCATAGCTTCTCGCTCCAAGTATATGACAGAACTTTGGACCTTCTGTTGCACAGCCCTTGAAGACAATTCTTGTACAACGAAATATGGCTACTGTGGCACGACTTCCTAAATAACCCTGGCAAGATACTCCTCGCGCGCCTCCAGAACGCGTTCCGTAGCCTTATCGTCGTCCTCAAGCTCAGGAAGCTTATAGCCGTTCTCCCTGAGATCCTTCGTGACCTCCTCATAGTGCTTAAACGCCCACTGCTCCGCATCATGATTCATGATCCACTCCTCGTCCTTCCAGCGCACGCTGTCCGGGTCCTTCTTCGCAGCGTCCGCATCGGCATTATGCCACCGGTCGCGGTTGAACTCGCCTGTGAGTTGCGCTCCCCGTACACGTCCATATCGCATCTTTTCGAACGCCTGTAACGCCAGCTGCACGTTCTTCTTGCCCGCTAGCTTCAGGTTCACAGCGAGCGTGACGCCGTCCTCGATGGCTTGGCTCGCTCCCTGTGCGCTAGTCGGAAGGAAGGGGTGCTGTTGGACGAGGCTCAGTTAATCCTAACTTGCAACCATTTGCTGTGCAAATAAGCTCACTGCAGCGTCCCCAATGAGGGCGATTCTGGATTTCCGGCTGAGCCACGTAGGGAGCGGGTCTCTGTACACCAGTTTCCAATCTACGCAGCTCGGCGCCTTGGAGAGGATTGCAGCGCAACGCGGGTCCCATCCATCGACGATCTTCAGAACATCTTCCATCTTTCCCGGGAACTGCCACGACTCCTCGATGTCCGCCTCGTCTTTGTGGGTGATCACCCAGGAGACATCCTTCCCCCCTTTGGAAGACGAGGTCAGGAAATGCACGTCCTTCCCGATCCAACCGTAGAACGCGTCGCCGTCTTTGACGAGGTAGCTCGACAGGGGATCTTCGTCAATTCCGCTGCCCTTGGCGGTGAACCACGCACGGTAGACGGCGTACCCAGAGGGGCGAGGCTTGTCAAAGTAACCCTATGCGTGAATGTGACAACAGCTTGCCGTCTCTGCAATGCGTTCACATACCAGGACCTTCTCGCGTGCCTTGGAGTGCACCCCGTCTGCTCCGATCACAACATCTGCCGTTAAGCGCTCGCCGTTAGCAACAACACCGGCAGCGTCGTCTGTTTCCCAGTATTCGGTGACCTGCTGTCCGAACCGGAGATCGATGCCCATCTGGCACCCAGTCATGAATATCCTCGACAAGCGAATGTTCACCACCTACCCCAATCGCATGATCCATCAAGATCTTGTGCAACTCCCCACGATGCCCATTATAGTGATGGATGCCGTCTTCCGTTGGTTTGATCGGGGTGTTATCAATGAGATCCCCTCGCCAGGTATGCAAATGGAACTGCCGTAAATGGGTGCATATCGTCCAGAACTGATCGTGCAGCCCCCAGCGCATGAAGATCCGCCCGGCATTCGCACCGAAGGAGATGATATCGCCGAGCACTTTGAGCTCGGGGAACTTCTCGAGGAGGATGACATGATGGCCCTTCAGCGTTGCCTCGATTGCACAAGCGAGGCCAGCTTTGAAGAAAAGGTTCAGAAGAGCGAGGCGGGATCATGGAATCACTTACCGAAACCAGCACCGACGATGATCATCTGGACTTGCTCTTTGGTTGCACTCCCGCTCGTGCGCCCACTGGCGGTACTGCCGTTCGCTTCAGACATACTTCTGGCAAGCAGAGCCTAGCTGAACGTAGCAGCGGATGGTATGATGCCAATATCCGCGTCGAACTCCATCCGCACTGACAAATACATTGCTATATACCCATCTGGAGCGGATAATATGTTGAGAAATGTACGGGGTCACGGGAGGATCAGGGTTTATCAACATGCCGGCAAAACCATCCCTTGTGGTCCAACTCTAAACGGTAGCTCTCAGATTGAGCAGGCGAAAGCCAGCGCTTCTTTGTTTCCCGCTTGCTTCTTTGGTAGAGATGCGGAAATGTGGGACGCCGATGAGCAAGTGTTAGCTTCACATGATTCCGACATGTACGGTCTGAGATTAGACTACAGATTTCTGTTGGTTACATACATACAATCTAGATGGCCCGTGCGAGGTATTCTTCCCTGGCTTCCATCACTCGTTCCTTCGCCTTATCGTCATCCTCCAGATCAGGTAACTTGTACCCGTTCTCCTGGATATCCTTCGCCACTTCGGCGTAATGCTCAAAGGCATACGTCTCCGCGTTGTGGCCCATGATCCACTCCTCATTGAAGAGCTTGACAGACTCCGGGTCCTTCTTGACCTTGTCCTCGTCCGCGTTGTGCCATTTGTCGCGGTTCGTCTCGCCCGTGATCTGCGTCTTACGCACGCGCGGATAGCGCATTTTCTCAAAGGCACGGAGCGCAAGCTGAGCGTTCTTCTTCCCGGCTAACTTGAGGTTAACAGCAATAGTCACGCCATCCTCAATGGCTTGGGAAGCACCTTGCGCACTCGTCGGAAGGAAAGGGTGCTATAGGAGACTGTCAGGAACGGAGGTTGATGATGAGCAACATGACGACTTACAGCAGCATCGCCGATGAGAGCAATCCTCGCCTTACGACTCAGCCAGGTTAAAAGGGGATCTCGGTAGACGAGCTTCCAGTCGACACAACTCGGTGCTTTGGAGAGGATTGCAGCACAGCGTGGATCCCAATCCTCGACAATCTTGAGCACGTCCTCCATCTTTCCAGGGAAGGACCAAGATTCCTCGATATCGGCTTCATCTTTGTGGGTGATGACCCAGCTGACGTCCCTTCCGCCTTTGGAGGAGGAGCACAGGAAATGAACATCCTTGCCAATCCAACCGTAGAAGGCATCGCCGTCCTCAACCAGGTAGTTGGACATAGGATCTTCCTCAATGCCACTGCCCTTGGCAGTAAACCAGGCACGGTAGACAGCGTAGCCCGACGGGCGAGGCTTGTCAAAGTATCCCTGAGTAGAGATCAGTGAGACACTACATGAAATGAATGATATCACTTACCAGGACCTTCTCACGAGCCTTCGAACGCACACCGTCGGCGCCAACAACCACATCGGCAGAGAGACGCTCGCCATTGACAACGACACCTGCCTCATCATCCGTCTCCCAGTACTAGGTCACTTCCTGTCCGAAGCGAATATCGACTCCCAGAGTGTTCTGCGCATGATCGATCAAGATCTCGTGCAGCTCACCCCGATGCCCATTGTACTGGTGCGCACCGAACCTGATCTCCTCGAGCGGCTGAGCAGAGATCAAGTCACCTTTCCATGTGTGGAGGTGGAACGTCTTCAGATGTGTGCAGATGGGCCAGAAGCGATCGTGCCATCCCCAGCGCTCGAAGATACGCCCTGCGTTTGCACCGAAGGAGATGATATCACCTAGAATCTTGAGCTTGGGGAACTTCTCAAGGAGGATCACGTCGTGACCCTTGAGCTTCGACTCGATGGCACACGCGAAGCCAGCTGCGGAATGATTCCCAAAGATGTCAGCAAGGTATTGTATCCACTGAATTGGACAAGAGGCTCACCAAAGCCTGCTCCTACGATGATGATCTTGACCTTCTCCTCAGCGCTGCCATTCGAACAGTTCGTTGCCGCCATGTCGATGGTATACAGGCAAGTGAGGCCACGAATAAGCAGTCGGTGTTCTACAACTGAACTGCCTTCGTCGCATTTTGTATTAGACCGCTGGGCTGATATGATTAGGGATTCGGCACGGCGGACGTTCGCTGCGAGAGGTCACGATGGAATCAAGGGTCTCTCTGGGTTCTCGCAAAACTTAGTTCCGTGGCCGGATTCCACACATGCTCCGGGCAATCTACCCGTTTCCACAGGGCGTTGATTACAATATGGACCATTTGACAATAATAACAAGGTAGAATCTATACCGTGGGGTACACACCAGAAAGGCAGTCGAGGCGCTATATATATTCCATGTATGCTAACACCGAACATGCTTATTCCCGACACGCGAACGCTTTCACATGAAAGTCGCGTTATATTCCTCGTCGCGTCTGACTCACAAGTTGAGTACGGTGAACGCGACGTTCGCAGTCTCAGCTCGATCCTGTTCTTGTTGTGTTTTACATCAACTTTAAACTGTTTACTGTTTTGTTGGAGGATTTGATTCCGCAGAGGCCTTTATTAACACGCACTCCGTTGCTTTTCGATTCCCCATCTGCTTGCACTCGAAACATCACTTTCCCCCTTCCTCCCCCTCACCTCCCTCCCCCCTCACCTTCCTCCCCCGTCACCATCCTCCCCCCACCATCCTCCCCCGTCACCATCTTTCCTCCTCACCCCCC